CGAGCAGCGAAGCGGCGTTCTAGTAATTTGTTGTTCGGATACGGTTGGCCACCGTATCCTCATCGTTCTTGCGGTAGGTGCACCTTCCCCTTTTTACCGTTGTAATTAGCGTGCGATCCCGCGCAGCGTGCGCGAGGTAATTAATTGTTGCACGCGAGCGGTTAGTTCGCGGTAATCGCGGTTTTTTCTCTCTCTCTCATTTGGCGTGTTTTGTCATTCGCGCGTGCGTGCGCAAGACTCTCGGCAAAACCCTCATGTAACTAAGTTGCATTAAATAAAGCGAACATTAATCGTCATCTTTAAATTAAGTAGTCGTTATTGTGTCATTCCTTTGTCCGGAGGTCGCGCCGATATTTGTTTACAGTCGATTCGAATTCGCCGGTAGCGTAGCACGAATCACGTGAATATCGGCAGGCGGGAATCGGCAACCTAGGTTCCAGCGGCGGCCGCACGAGCGCTACTAGTAAGGGCGACAGCGCCGCCAAGCGGCGAGTTGGGGGAACCCAGCTCGGAATAGTGAAGAGATTCTGCGCAGGCGCACTCCGAGACAAGGTAGGTTGCTGTGCTTTGAGCACAGAGATAACTAGGCGTCGTCTAGTCTTAAATAAAGGTACGTTTACGAGATTACAGAATAAACGGCAGCCTGTTACACGTTTTAATTTTTACGAAATTGTCTATCGACGTTGACGATCCTAAGAATTTAAACGATTTTTTTGAGGATCATCCATAATATAATTATATTATTGTCTTCTAGAAATGACATTTCATTTTAATGCTGTTATCGTCTATAATAATTATCTTCATCATAGTTATTTTAGCATTAACGTCCTTGGTTTATCATCTCTTTGGTCACTGTATTTATCATTATCATAATTTCTTAGAGCTTAATTATCTCTATTTCTTTATATTTTTCGACTTTATTTTATGATATCTGTTGGTACCATTGTAATTTCTATTGTCATAATGAACTTAATTCGACAAAATGCCGAAATCGTCGCTTCGTAATTATAAAAAAATTATTAATTTATAATTTTTACTTGTATGTAACTACACATAAATTTTAAAATACTAGATAGGTTCTAAATATTAGTGGCAATTTACTCGCATGCAAATTTAACTTTTTGAGAAAAGTGTGATGGACATGGATGTTTCATTAACTGTACCAGGATCATGTATGTGACCATATAAGATGAAATCCGTAGAATGGAGTGCTTAGAATTAAGCACACGATAAACCACTTATGATCGTCTGTGATAAATTTTTAAATTATATTATTATGATGCGTCATCACAAGCAAACTTTGCACCTACAAAATTCGCGGAACGCTTGAAAAATCCTCTCCAGATGAGAGGACGTGAACGACCGATCAGCTGATGCCGCCGTAGCTCTTATAACCACACCTAATAATTACCTCGATACCTCGCGAAAATAAGACCTCTCAGGACCAGCCCGATCGATGCATACCATCCTTAGACCCGCGCACACACGCTGTCATACACAGGAGCCCGGATCGATGCTTCCTCAGGAAACAAAGTGACGAGGAAGATTGCAGTTGAGATCAGCTGATTCTGGTAGTTGGTCACACAGTGGGGGGAGCACCGTACACACACTGACAATGGACGATTGTACGATACCCAATCAACGCTCCCGAAAAGACAGCTCGACGCCACACATATACACACCGACCGACTTTGCGAGCACCGAGAAATGACAATGGAGAGCGGTGATGGCACGCGACGTTGATGCGATAGCCAAGCGGCAGCCATGTTGTGACGCGACTATCAACGAGCATGAGTCAGAGAGAGCGGGCGTAGCGAAAGTGTGAGTGCGAGCAAGGCGACCGAGGAGGGGCATGAATAGGCGCGAGCGGGAGCTAAGCGGAAGCGTGCATACGAGTGAGATAACCGATAGAGCAGGCTCGAAAGGGGTACCGATATAGTAGTAGGGGCCATTGGTAGGACTAATGAGCGTTAGAGAGCAAAGGATAAATGATACCCGATTCGGGTAACGCTAGGTTGACCGACCCGCGCACTCTTGACCAGCTAATAATAACAGGGATAGGATTAAGCCCATGAATAGGACAAATAGACGCTAAATAATCAACCTGTAAAAAAATTACGCGGGCTAAATTAGTAAAAAAGACGGCGCTGTTGTTCGGGTTGACGTCATAATTTCCCATTTTTATAAATAAATTTCTTGTTTTAATCTACTTCCTACCAATCTCATTATTTGCTTAAAATTATTTGCAAAATTTTGAAAATAATAAAATCTGTTAAAAATGGCACGAATGCTGAAAATTATTTTTAGATCTTGTATACAAATAAAATAAATATGTATTAAACGAGATAATAACAAAAAATGGATCAATAAAAAATTAAAAAATTATGTGGATAATATTCTACGCTTTAACTATTATTTAGATATATTCGATATATGATATTTATTTTCTTCATGGAGGTGTTAGTTAAACATCATTAATGAATTTTTGAATTTTTGAAAGTATGTAACGAGGTGAATGCTCCGTCTTTTTGTTTCGATTATTTGTTCGTGCAATTGCATCGAAGAGCGCGCGGTGTTGTCGAAACGTTCAAATTCATTAATAGAAGAGCAGGAGGGGACGGGAGTCAGTCAAGCAACTTGCTACTAGTGAGAAATAACAACAGCGAAGTTATAATCAGTATCACATGCGAGTTAGTTTATTTCCCTATTCTCTACAGTATACTTGGCCCGCGTGTTTATGTTTACAAAGCGCGCGCGCGTCAACAACATGCAGCGTCGGAGCGATCGCAACTCTTTGTCCGCCGGGTTAGAACAAGCACGCTACCGATTCTTACAAAGTACGAGGGATTAACGATTAGTTCCGCGCAGTCGTGAGAAAAATAAAACAAAGCCGCGATATAAAGCTGGCTAGCTTACCTTTGTATCGGTCGCACTACTAGCAAGGGGAAAGGAGACAAGTTCGTTATTAGTCTTTCACAGGAACAGTCCGCTCTCGGTTTCGCTCTCGATGGCGAAACACTACACCCACGCTCACTCACACTCACTCGCTACCACAGCGACGAAAGCAGTTCTCTCGAGCTCGAAGGTGTCACTTCTACGTAACATCTTGAAAAATCGGCTGGCTCACTTCGTATTTCTCATGAAAATTTTGGCGGAAAACTCTGGCTTTTTTTACAGCAGCTGGATGTACGGATATCTTATCCTCGACTGGTTCATTTATATTCGCGTGCGTTCCGTCCCGTCTCGTACCGAATTCTCTTATTCCATTTTTCCCCAACCAGTAGGTGCTGCCCTCGCAGGCAGCCGCATAGTTGAGGTGATAGTGCTAATAAGACGTTTACTGTCACACGTAATAAAAAGACATAGTTTTTTCTTGCCAGGCATGTTATTATCTATTTAATCAATAAGAAAATAATCTATAGATTATAATGAAAACAATTTTTATATATTTTACTTTGTCAAAAATGCTTTATTTATTGTGTTATAAAATATGCAAGTATAAATATTGAAAGAAGAAAATATTATGATTTCTTTATAAAATTTTTGAAGTAAATGAATGTTATCATAAATAATAAAAATAAAAAAAGTTACATTGAAAGAATTTGAACCGACGGCTCTAGAAATGCTATCCAAACAATTCACATGACTAAAGTTACGATCAAAAGTTTATGCCTGAAAAGTCGTGTATTTTCATAGATGTCCCCAACTACTTAGATCAAAATATTCCTGTTTAATTATTATTTATAATAATCTTATGATTGATAATTTCATTATAAAATATTCATATACTCATGAATTATTGTAATAGTATGTGTTACACCCGCATTTATCATACATACCAACAGCACATATTAATTACCATCAGTCATTCTAGTTATGGCTCCCTTATAAAATGGCGCGCGAAGCAATGGCATTCTTCTGACAGTTTCAAATACGATTGAGTACCGACGGCTTATACATGATACTCCCTCTTCTCTGTATAGTTTTCATAGTGTATATATTTTCTCATGTTTGTTTCTCTGTTTGACGTGCGGTGGACAGATTGATTGATGGAGTCAGCAAAAGAATAGAGAAGGCGAACGCGAGGAGCGCGAAAGTAAAATAGAGAGAGAGTGAAAGACAGAGAGGGAGAGAGAGAGATGTCAGTTGCTCATGATTGCAACTTACAAAAGTTTAATGGGATGAGAGACAGTAATAGCTTGATTGTCGAATCACATATATCACCGATTTATCGTTTGTTGGACGATTTTCGTTATTTTCGAATTCGGTCTCGCCGGATTTTGATTACAAGTATAACCGTACAGTTCCTGTGTTTATTGATTTTTGTTCGTGGTTTGTGGCTAAGTTTTGTCCAGATACTTTCATCGTTCGACACCAATGTGTGAATGGGATCACGGTGAGGATCAGCGTTGTCAACGCGCGTGACCATTTTTGGTCCGCAGTTAAATAATAGTAGTAACAATAGTAGTGACAGTGGTAGCAATGCAGTATTAGCGAGGAGCAGCAGAGGCAACAACGAGAACCGGTAGCCGAACCACGAAAGCTCGATGCCGTGTTCTTTCTTTCTCTCTCTCTCTCTCTCTCTCTCTTTCTTTCTTATTCTCTCTCTTACTCGTGTTTAGGGATTTTGTGTTAATTTTGTGGACAAGAATTTTTGCCGACCCTCGCGTCGATACTAACAGTTAGTTTCGATAGGTTTAAAAGAGAGAGAGTTTGCCAATAAGTTTGCTATAACTTATTTTGCGCGCGCTGTGAGTTTCATGCCATCGGTTTCGCATTGAGTTACAGTGACGTCACTAGGTGCACTTATGGTATATATATACATATATATATATATATATATATATATATGTATCCTTAGCAAAGTAATGAACGTTATTCTTATAAAACTTTAGCTTACATTGATGTAGAAACTAAAATATGATTCGCAAATAGCTACTATGACCAATTTTATCAAGTACTGAGTGTTGTATTGTATTGAATATAAAATTGAAACTCACCTTTCCAATAAATTTCTGCAAATCGTTGGTGTAATTTAGGATGTCCAATCCTATAATTAGTACCAATATTACTCCAACGAAGAGCATTGTTTACAAATGTTTCTCTTTCAGGAGAAGTTGAATCCATTAATGAAAACAAATCAATAATATTTTCAAAATATGAGAAAGATGGCTTTTCTTTCGACTTTTTAAGTACGTCTATATATAACATCCCCAAATCAGCTCCACTTGTGTACTGAAAATAAATTTGTATGCATAAAAATAATTTGTTTTCACATCATATTTTAATGTTATTTGTTGTATTTTCTTGAGATATGTATGTTTTAAAACTAAATGGAAAATAAATCTTATATACCGATTGTAATAAAATTCTTCATCCAATATTACTACACCAGATCCAACATTTAATTTTTCAATTACATAAGATTAAGAATTTCATATTACGACTTATCATAAGTTAAGGTGAAGTCAAACAATTATTGTTTGTATATTTTCTGATTAAGATTTGTAACGATATAGTACTGCTCATGACCAATTATTTCGGGTGGGGAAAAGACGCAATGACGCTCTGAGCAATTGAGAAAGAATTGAAATAAAAGAAAAGAAAAATAAAGAGATTTAGACTCGTTAATTGCTAATCTTATCCTTTATTCTACGTATTCAACTTAACCTATGGTACAAAAAAAGCCTAACAATCAGTTGAATTTTATTCATATGATATTCATACTTTATTCATAATGTTCGTCAATTTTTCGAAGATATCAAGAACTACCTCATTGGAATTAAAGATAGAAATTTATAAAAGCTTTTTTTTGAATACTTAAAATCACAACCATTTATTGTGAAGTTAATGAGTAGTTTTTGTTTAGGAATAACTTACCATATGTAAAATAAAGATTTAATAGAGTAGATAAGTAATGGTTGTTTCAGGACAGATTTGTTCCTAAGTACTAATCCCTATGCACAAGAATATATGTATATTTCAGGATAGATTATTCCCTAGGCACAAGAGATCTTAGTTTTTCGATCAATAGAATTAATAGATAGATTAATTTAGAGATGGAAGGGGAACATTACTCTCTCTCTCTCGCTCTCTCTCTAGCAGAGGGGATATGGTTTCCTGGGCGGCCGCCGATACCTTAAAGGTATTACTGCTACCCTAGCTGAATGCTCTCACTCACTCTCTCTCTCTCTCTCTCTCTCTCGTAGAAGCAATACGATTTTCCGGGCGGCCGCCAATGCCTTAAAGGCGTTATTGTTGTCCTAGCTGAGGACTGGAGACTGCTAGCTCAATCCCTAGACTGCTTCTGTCTTGAAACGTTGCACGCTTTCTTCTCATCCCAAATCTCGTAGTTAAATGGGATATAGTGCTCTCTCTCCTCTTCCTCTCGCTTTCTATATCTAAGCAAACGCTACTATAGCTTTATTCGATTTCAGGAGCATTTCAATCATTTTATTCGAATCAGTACATTTTATTCAAAATATTAACTAGAAGAATTCATAGAATTTTTTTGAATAATTAATTTATTATTCAATTATGCATGGAATATAAAACGGTCTATCTATAATTTTTATTTTCAGTAGTTGACATAGCTATTTTGAAATATTCAGATAAATTTTTATATATGTATTACTAACAACTTCATCCATGCCTTCGAGTCGAGGTTGCGTCTGTCTATTTTTAATCCAAATAAACAATAAATGTAAAATTTTACATTTGTAACGGCTCATACAAAGTTAGCTCAATTACCGTAATGATATATACAAGACATTTTTAATGACAAAGTTAATTCATTAAATGGTGGATATCTCATGTCTCTTTCAAGATGCAAAATTTTTTTATAATAGAAAAAAAGTTTTTAATTAATAATGATTTTAATATCTGAATACATAATAAAAAAAAATTTTTTTTATACTTACTTTTCAGATAGTATATTTTGAAGCCATAATTTCTTTTGGAATCTTTTTACATGAATTTTTCTAGAAATATGTAAATGATTATTCAAAACACATGGTAAAATTTTATATGCTATAATGCCAGATCTCAATAATATACCATTTTGAAACATTTCTAACAATTTATTGACTTTATAAAATACGATAAGATAGGCAGTTACAGCCAATGATATGACGGTTCAAAGAAAAGCACAGTTGGAAAAGTATCAATATCTAATGGTAAATAGGCGAGTTCATTACATACAAAAGACTCATTTGAATCTGAAAAGTTTTAAATATCGACTACATAATCCATTTTAAAAGATAAAGAATTTAATATGAAATCTATGAAATACCAAAGCCGTTATGAGAGTTTATGTATGAGTTTGTTTTATACAGGGTGTCCCATTTTAAAGGAACCACCTCGAAATTTTCGACGGTTGGCGTTGTACAAAAAAATTGTTCAGACAACAGTTGTTTGGGACAATGGGGGCAACCTTTCTGTGAAATCCGATTTGACTTTGAGATTCATTTTCAAGGTCATTTGAAGGTCAAAGTCATTTTTTGAATAGGAACCCATATTTCTGATCCCGGATTCGGAAAGAGCGGAAAATTCTACGTTTAGATAACGTATTATGTGTAGGGTGCGGTTAACCGCCCCCTCTCGACTAAGGTCATGTAGGGGTCAAATTTATGATTTTCTTCATCTATGCATAGGGATGATCGGGCAAGAGTAAGGTTAATTGTAATAACCCAATAACTCGATAACCCAAATAACCCAATAATCCAATAACCCGATAACCCCAATAATTCAATAACCCCAATATCCCAAAAAAGTTGTAGGGTCAAATAACAGTGACCTTGAGCTTAAACTTCAGGTTGATTTTGAAAGTCGACTTCATGTATTCAAAGCCTTCATGAGAAGTGTCATTTTCCATTTTGTGCGATAACATGTTATTTTCATTCTTTTTTCTGGTGTGATTGCGGATAAGCCTACAAAGTTTCAACTAAATTGTTTAATAACATTTTTTTAGTATTGTTTATGACAATAGTGATTCGCGAACAGTCTTTCTCAGGATACTTCAAGTGTAATTTTCTTAGTCGACTTAAAAGGAGGGAATATGCCGGATTATTCGAGAAACGAAATTGTTGATATTCTGTTGTCTCTCGGGGCATGTCAAGGCCGATATCGTGCTGCGGCAAGGTATTACCCGCAGCACCCGGCTAGGTAATCAGTACCTTGCCTTCGTTGGCTGGGTAATCGATACCTTACCTTCATTGGCTGGGTAATCAATACCTTGCCTTCACTGGCTGGGTACTCAATACCTTATTAACCTCACCCTTGCCCCGGTGGGATGGTGGGGTGAACCGCTCCCCCAACATAATACTTTATCTAAACGTAGAATTTTCCGCTCTTTTCGAATCCGGGATAAAAAATGGGGGTCCATATTCAAAATATCTCTTGGTTATTGGGTTATTGGGGTTATTGGGGTTATTAAGTTATTAGGTATTGGAGTTATTGGGTTATTACAATTAACCTTACCCTTGCCCGATCATCCCTGTGCATAGATGAAGAAAATCATAAATTTTACCCCTACATGACCTTAGGCGAGGGGGGGGGGGGTTTATCCGGGATCCGGAGGGGGGAATCCGAGATCAAAAATATGGGTTCCTATTCAAAAAATGACTTTCACCTTCAAATGACCTTGGAAATAAATCGCAAGGTCAAATCGGATTTCACAGAAAGGTTGCCTCCATTGTCCCAAACAACTGTTGTCTGAACAATTATTTTGTACAACACCAAACGTCGAAAATTTTGGGGTGGTTCTTTTAAAATGGCACACCCTGTATAAAGCCCATACCTTACCATCATTCGTAAGTATAGGGCGTCATAATCGCCACAAACTCCATTTTTCCATTTTGTTACCTTTTCCATAGGCTACAGCGTCATCATCTTGCTTAAAATGTAATTTTTATTCGACAGACGGTGCAATTTTTTCTCTAAAGAGCCGGCGAACAAAGCTCAGTATACCTCATCCTTTCTCAGAAGTGTATTAGTAGTAGCAGTAGTTATTATTGATATTTATTTTATTTTTTTTTATTAGATGATTTTATTGATTGAAATTGAATCGATGATTTTATTAGAATGAAAATGTTAGCAGTTATTGCTATCAATTCAGTAGTGATTTATATGAAACAATATGGTTTAACTAGAGCAATACGATAAAGATGTCAAATTTGCGCTTCACATTTAAATTCTATCAGAAACAAAATAAATATCTTAACAAAAGTTGACGAAAATATACATACATTACAAAAAAGTACAAATTAAATTCAAGAAGATGGGGTTAATTGGCGAGAAATTAATTCTGGAAGCAAAGACGTTACCACGACTGAATAACGCGTCGAGCATAAACACGTTAAACGCACAGATTCGAAATCGGGATGAGGAGTGATACAGCGGCGAATAAACACAACAGCAGATTAACACACTAATACTTTAATCGTCAACAATAGGTTACAAGACGGCGACCTCGTACTTATACACTACGAGCGGCACAATAACAAACACGAACGCGAAGGTGACTCGGTGGCTGGTCAGCCTACCTATTCCCTTGTTAGAACTAAATATTATAATAAATACCCGACAAACACTTTCCGCCGATAAACTATCAACGAGTAGCCGGCAGGTCTGCCGAGCTACCATCCATAAACTGGCGCCCAAACATGCAAGAGAGAGAGAATCAAGAGAAAAACACGGCACTGACCTCGACCTTCAGCCTCTCCGACGGCTAGAGCGCTCCGCAGTATGACGTCACTGGTGTACCTCTCGCTGGCCGTCTCGCTGATGTTTGTTGTTGTAGCTGTCTATCTTACTCATCCTTTCGCTCGCTCCACAATACTGTCTCAATCCGTTGTTTCACCCGAGAATTGCTGTTGTTGTTGCTTCCGCCACCTCTCTGTTGCTCGGTGCTGCAGCACGTCAAATTCCTCGCGTGCGCACCCGCGCACCTCGCCGGTTACCCACACGCACCGGTGCCGGATATCCTTCGGGACACGGCTGGGTGCGACCCAGCCTCACACTCTATTACTCGTCCGCGCACCGGGCGTGTTTCCGAAAACGAACGATCGTCGACGAGGTCGCGGGGCCAACTTTGGAAGACCATGGCCTTTCGTGTTTATTCGCACGTGCGACTTTCTCCGCTCATTGCCTAGCAGAGACTCTCGAATTTTCCGCGGCGAATCGGCAATTCGAGCGCTCTCTCTCTCTCTCTCTCTCTCGCTCTTTCTTTCTTCTTC